ATCTAATTTCCCTTTAGAATTTGCAAAACATTCCCATTTACATAGGGGGGGGGTTACTTACAGATTTTGGGGGTCTAATAAAAGCCCTATATGAAGAGGGAACAGATCCCACATGTACTTGCTTTGTAAAATTTTTCTTCAGTCTAAAAGGATGAGGTCACTTCCTCCCAAGTTAGCAAACGGGAAGCCCCGGGCCCTTTAAAAGGGGGGACAGACATGCTGAATGTTTAAAGAATGCCTTGTGTAATAAAAGGGGAAAGCCACCCCCTTTTTGCTGCACACAGTAAAGGATCATCCCCAATCAGGGGAACTCCCTTAATATTAGATTTTTGGACATACTACGGTCATTGTTGGGGGTTTTCCCTTTCAGGGTTTGAGAGGGGCCACACCACGCAAAAAAAGGGGGTTCCCCCCCCCCCCCCCCCCCCCCCCCCCCGGGTTGCAGGGGGGGGGGGGTTGTGACCCTGTCCATATGCCTGACGAAAGCCCAAGAACCAGGTCGGCTTACAATCACGGGAAAATTTTTCACCCTGCCACCCCAAAAAATAATAAAAAATACATTTTTTTTCTAGATAAAAAGTTTCCCTTTATTCTTCTTTTTCAAATGAAACCCAAAACAAAAATTTGGCTTACATAATGTTCAAGCATAAAAAAAAGGGAGTGCGCTTTTTCCCACAAAAAAATCCTTTAAACAATAATAAACCAAATAAAAAATGTACTTTAAAAAAAGGGGGAAAAAAAATTAATTAAAAAATTTATATAAGTCCACATTCATATTTTAAAATAATTTAAAATTTCCCCGGGAAAATCCATAAAACGTGCTGTGTGCTAAAGGAATCCTCCAAGGGAAAGTGCTTAGTTTTTCCACAAATGTTTACACAAAAAAAAAAAAATCGCCTCTTACCCAGACATTTTGATTTTCCCAAAATAGGGAGATCAAAGGGAGCGGGGGGGTTCAGATCCCCCTGAAAATTTTTGTTACTTTTCAAGGGGGTTGAATAAAAAGAGGGGAAAGGGAAACACTGCGGGTTTCCATTTAAAAATGAATCTTTAACACCCAAAAGCTCTCCCATCATGAAAGGGAAAAGGGCCCCCAAACAGAAAAAGGAAATTTGGACTCAATAACAAGAAAAAAATTATTAAAGTATTGCACTTACTTTGTAAGGTGAAAAAAGGGCCCAGGGGTAAACTTTAAAATCCCGCGGTGTCAGCCCCCGGGGCCAAAGAAACAAGGTAAGTAACAGAAAGCTTTTCCCCAACATGCGTTTCTCCAAAAATGGCGTCCCCCCGGGTTTGGGAAAAACCCATTTCTGATGATGCGCAAGCAGGGCTTTGTAATATTTCTTTTTTGTTTTCTCTAATTTTATTTTTGTTTCGGGGTTTAAAAAAATTCCCCTCTGTTTTATTTGAAGTTGCTTTTTTTTAACCTTGTAGAAAATTTACAGCTTTGGTATTGCGCTTAGGGCTTTCCACTAAAGCCCTTTGTAAACGCATGCAAAAGTCCCTTTTATAAAACACGTAAAGTTTAATGCTAAAAAAAGTACAGAATTTGTTTTGGCCCATTTGTCATGCTTTGGAAAACCCCATTTTTAAATGTGGTTTGTAGTTTTAAAAATTTCATAAAAAATTTAAAAATTTAAAAAGTTCACAAAATGCCCATTAAAGGAAATGTTTGGTTTTGGGCCCACCCTTTTAAAGGAATCAAAATGTTTTGCTTTGAATAATGTTTTGCTGCTTTTTTGGCATTGTTACAAAGTTGGGGGGATTTAGTTTAAACATGTTTTTAAAATTAAACCTTCCCCCCAAGCTTTTAAACCCCCTTATACAAAATTTTGGGCCCCCCCCCCTCCCCCCATGTATGTATCAATGTAAACAATTTGTTGGGGGTCATCTACTTCCCAAAAATGGGGGATTATATCACCAACCATTACAGAGTGAGAGCAAAATTCAAAGGGGCCATCTTTTTCGGTTTGTTTTGCTACTTAGACCCAAAAATTAAGTTTTTTAAAACCACTTTTAGTTACCCTAACCAAAATGTATTATTAAAATGTTTTAGGGTTGTCATTTTAGGAAAATGTATAAAAATGCATAATTTAATTTTTTAAATTTTTTAGTTTTTGGCTTTGGGGCCCTTTTTGAAACAATGTTTTCTGGGATTTTTTAGAATTTATAAAGTATCTGTGATTTTTTAATGCTCTTAGGGAAAAAGTTTTAAAGTTTTTATGTCTTAACCGCAAAGACATTTTTTTTATTTACTGTAATGTTCTAAATTTATTGTATTTATTGTTTTTAACATTTTTTTTATTTTTTTTTTCATCATATTTCTGGGGATCTTTTTCCTTTGGTTGTGTTAAAGAATTAGGTAGTCATTTATTTTCTTCTTAATTGTATATTTTTTTAATAATTTGTTTCCTGATGTTCTTTTTTTTTTCTGTTTTGGAATTATTTTAGTATAATTAATTGTCCATTAAAGGGTACGAAGATACCATCTTCATTGATGTGATACTCTCAAATTGGTGAAGAGATAAATCTTATCGATCACACCACAAGTAGGGGTCGAACATATGACTTTAGATATACCTGTAACCGTGGCGGACTGGACCTTCGAGCACTCGGGCACTGCCCGAGGGGCACTGGGGTCAGTATGGGTGCCCCAGTGAAATGCCCTGTTATCTTTTTTTATAGACCTTTTTGGTGTCGCGTGCTGTGAGATGGGGGATGGACCACAGAGGCCCCCTGATTACCCCATTGCCCCCGGGGCCCCCCCCTTTAAGTTGTAAAGTCCCCCCTTTACCCGTTTAAACAAGAAAAATTAGCTAACTTACCCAAAAGGGGTGAAATGAAAGGGATCTAAAGTTTGTTTCAAATTCAGGCCTTTATGGGTTTCTTTCTAAATTGTTTTAGTTTGAGTTTGCTGTTTTTCCCCGTTGCTTCCCCCCCTTTTGTTGAAAAGCAACTTGGGAAAAACCCCGCCCAAAACCCCGCCCTTTAAGGAAGGGGTTACATCCCCCAAGTGCCCAAAGCAAAAAGATTGGATTTCCGTGGTGTTTTAAAAACGCCGCCATGGGCTTTTAGAGCTGTGGGAGGGGCGTGTTTTTGAGTGACCAATCCGCTTTTTCTGTCTGGAAAAACCCATTTTTGGGCTGGGTTTTTGGGAGTTGCCAAAAGAACGGGCCCCTTTCCAAACCCCCACCCCCGGGAAATTTTAAAATTTTGGGTGGAAAAAAGGATTATGGAGTGGGGTTGTTTTTCAGGGGTTGGGCTTGGTACCCCTATAGTTCCAGTTTGAAGGGAACTCTTAAGGTTTTCGTGTCAGCATGCCAAGGACATTTTGGACAATGTCCAATTATGGGCATGGCCATTCTGATAGTTTGACCTGCTCTGCTAGGGGCCTAGCTAGACCCGGGCACTGGGTAGAGGGATCCAAGGTATTGCCTCAGGTACCTGGGTCCAATGGCACTTATGTTTTACAGCCATACAATAAATTGTAGCTCAAGAACATATTTATACCTGGTTCACCAGAGACTAGGGTTGTACTTAAAGTGATTCTAAAGGCTTATTTTTTCTTAAAGAAAAAATACACAAACATGTCTATACTTACCTGCTGTGTGCAGTGGTTTTGCACAGAAAACCCAGATCCTCCTCTTCCCGGGTCCTCTGCCAACACTCCTGGGGGGCCCCTCCCTCCTGTCAGGTGCCCCAGGCAAGCAAGCAGCTTGCTATGAGGACACCCGCTGCTCCATGCGTCCATTCCACACACAGAGCCACGGCTCGACCCTGCCCCCTCTCATTTCTCATTGGCTCACTGGCTGTGATTGACAGCAGTGGGAGCCAATGGCTCCTGCTTCTGTCTCAGCCAATCAGAAGAGGGAGTCCCGGGATAGAGTAAGGAACAGTGCACATCGTTGAATCAAGAGGCGGCTTAGGTGAGTATTAGGCGGGGCTGCTGCACAGAGAAGGCTTTTTACCTTCATGCATAGAATACATGAAGGTAAAAAAAAATCCTTGAGCCTTTAGAACCACTTTAAACACCACTGTTGTTCTGCATGAATGCACCATCTTCATGATATGTACAAACTACAAAAAACATCCTTTTTTATAAGACTTGAGAGACATTGTGCAGAATTCTAATACAAGGTGTGGGGCGAGGAATCTGTGACAGTACAATTTGCATACTTCCTATTTTACATACAGGAACTCTGAGCTTATTTCCCTTTAGACTTCATATGATATAAACTCCGTATTCTGGAAACCAATGATCTGTTTGTGTGACAGTCCTGACACATCAAGATGGTCCCTCTGCCATATCTGCTCTGTGTCCTTTATCTTTATGCAAAAGGTAAAGAAAATGTATGATCACTGAATGATTTCTTTAAAAATCCTTTTATTTTTACCAGTCCTTATCTTTTTGTAACAATATTAGATCATAGAATATTTTGTATATGGAAAAGGTTCAGAAAATGTATGATCTCTGGATGATTGTTCTAAAATCCCTTCTTTTTTTTTACCAATCCCCATTTTTTGTAACAATGTTAGAATCTCATAATATTTCTATGTTTTAATTGCAGCTAATTAAAATTCTTTTTTGTTTCCCAAGCCTCTTATGGAGAGATTGTGATGACGCAGACTCCAAAACATATCTCAGTGTCTCCAGGAGAGAAAGTTCAGATAAACTGTAACTCAAATTCTGATGTCACTTACTCAGATGGTGACAGTCTAATATATTGGTTCCAAAAAAGAAAGCTGATCAACCCCCAAAACGTCTTATCTATTGGGCAACCAATCGCCAGTCTGGAGTCCCGGACAGATTCAGTGGCAGTAGATCTGGAACTCCGCATGATTATTTCACTCTTACAATCAATGGGGCTCTGGCAGAAGATGAAGCCGAGTATTACTGTATGCAGGGAAAGAGCTTCCCGCTCACACAGTGATACAACGCCGTACAAAAACCTCCTTCCTCTTTTATATAGTTAGTGTATCTGAGTCTACAGACAAGACATGATTGTATTATTACAAATTGTATTAATTAAAAAAAAAAGAAGCATCACCTATTTGATAAGCTTAGCCTGTCAGCATGACCTAGCCATATCCACTAATTGGAAAGTCCAACACTAACTGTGGTGCAGTTTGTACAGTGCCAAGCCGTCATTTCTAGTCCAATGCTGCCTGTATAAGTTCCAGGCTGTCACCCACCACAAGACCCGGGCGTTGTTGAGGTGGACTCATAGGACCTGTGCAGCTTGCCTCATGTAAGTGAACAATTCAGCTCCCACTGTCCAGCAGTAAACAAGGTTACAAACCACTAACTACCAACGACAGGGGTAATTACCACCCAATAATAGGGTCACAAACCAATTAAATGCATACTGTAGACACTTACTGAAGAACACCAATGTAATAAGGGGCACTGAACACCATTGTAATAACGGATACTGACCACTGAATCACCAGTGTAAGGGGCACTTATATCCAACTACTGCATTTCATAGTCCTGATTCTTGCACTTTGTATGTGGCATAATCTTGATCCCTGTATTCTATACACTGTGTTGTCTGTTGCATAGTCCTGATTGCTGCACTATATTCCTTGTTGTATGCCACTTAATACTGACTGTTGCACACCATATGCCATGTTGTATTTTTTTAGTCACCTGTCCACTGCATAGGCTATTGGTTTATTGTATAGTCCTGACACCTGCACTCTATACCCTATGTTGGATATTGCATATTTTTGACCCCTGCACTTTAAATGCAATGGGGAACTTTAAATACATTTACTGAACAAAGTATTCATTGTCTCAACAGTTTTTGGTTGTTGTATTGACTCCAATAGTTTCAGTGAATCTTAGTGTGTACAAAGCCAAAATGGTCATTGAATGGTCTCCTAAAAAAAAAATCCTTTTCCCTGTCCTGAGGTTTATGTGTGGTCTGCTTGTGACAGAAAAATATCTATTTTGTGGGTAGAAAGGTACTGTGCAGTGTATACAGTATAGCAAGTGGGCTCAGGTTCTCTTTAGCTATTTCCGCTTTTTAAAGCGGAGTTCCGCCCCCCCCCCCCTAAAAAAAAAAAATAATTAAGTCAGCAGCTACTACAAGTACTGTAGCTGCTGATTTTTTAATATCAGGGCACTTACCTGTCCAGGGATCCAGCGGTATCCTTACCCCAAGCCGATTCTTCAATCAGCTGTTGGGTGCTGGTGCCACCATTCTTGACTAAGGGAAAACTGGCATGTGCAAAGCGCACTGCGCTTTGAGAATGGGCCATGGCGAACTCAGCCGGAAATAGGAGCAGGTATCCGTCAAAACCAGGTAGACGCTCCCCCCCAAAAGGTGCAAAATGTAACAATGGGGGGGGGGGGAGGCAGATAAGTGGAGCTTCCGCTTTTGGGTGGAACTCCGCTTTAAGTCACTCAGCAAATAGATGTGATATGTAGGATACAGATTCTTCTCAAGAAAAAAGCAATCAAAAGGAACAAATAATGTGGAGGACCCTCTAAATAGCTAAGTTTATTGTATTCCTAGCCAGAGGCTGAGTAGCAGCCTGGGAGTGAGGTAGTGGGTTCGCCTCAGGACAGGCTGGGAGGCTCTACATGTCAGGGCTTCTGGAGCCAAAAAACTCAGGAGAATGTTCTGTAAGAGAGGGTGGAGGAGGAAAGGAGGCCTGGATCTGCATGTTTAAGGGACTTTGGCCAATCCCCTGGCAGGAGGCCGGGGAATGGGGACCAAGGACAACCCTTAAATGTGGCAGAGCCTGGGGAGTGGATGATGGACTGAGAGGCTGGAGTGTGGAGCCTGAGAGGGGCCCCAGGGATGGGGGCCTACTACAGGCTGGTTGCTGGACAGAAGGATCTCCAGTGTTCCACCAGCATCTCTAGGGAGGAAAACTTGTATGCCGGGAGGAGCCAGTGAAATGTTCTGAAAGCAGCTTTGACCCACCAAGCTAACAGGACAGGGACAGTGTGGATGGATTCTACACCCTCTAGGCCAGATAAGGGGGGTGAGAGAGCGGTAAGTGCAATACACAAATGATTCTCATCCAGGGACTGCTTGATTGCCAGCGCTTGGGACATCTCATGCCCAGGGATACCCTCATTGCAGGCTGGGTGAGGAGGAAGATTCATCCAGGGTCTGAGGAGGTACACCAAGGGGACTTTAGTACTCCTTAACAGAGAATTATGCTATTTTTGCTAATCCACATTTTGACGTCTTTTGACAGCTCTTTGGTCCTGCCCATGGTGGTGGGTGAGGTTTGAATGGAAGAAGAAGATTCTGTGGACAGGTGTCTTTTATACACATAACAAGCTATCGTTAGGAGCACCTTCTTAAATTTGACATGACTAATCTGTGTACCTCGTGAGCCAGTCTGTGGGAGCCAGAATTATTGTTTGGGTAGGTGATCAAATTACTTATTTTACTCACTGAACTGCAACTCATTTATATTTATTTATATAATGTTTTTTATTGATTTCTGTCTTATCATTTAAAATGCACCAAAGATTAAAAATGATAGACCCTTCATTTTTACTTTGTAAGTGGGCAAATGTTCAAAAATCATATATTCGATCAAATAATTTTTTTCCCACCACTTGTATATAACGTATGTAACACCCTGCTGTAATGTCAGCTGCAGGATGTTATAACCAAACACAAGATGTTAGTGTCTGCAAATTCAGTGGCAGTCACATTTAGGGGGGGGGATCTTTGCATGCTGAATCGGAAAGGGACACTTAGCCTCACCTTTTCACCAGAAGGAGTTCCTCCTTGAGTTTTTTCTTAAAGACTCTTTTAACCAAAAAAAAGACATTCTGGGAAACTTTGCTGAAGCGCCTTTACAGTTTTAAATTAGTAGTTAGTTAGCCAGAGTCAGGGCTATGTTGGGTTCTTGCTTGTTGGGGGATTCCCCACTGTTCTAGCAGGTATTCCCCAGATGGCTGTCTTCTCCTGCTTAAGGGAAAATATTTTTTGTGGCTGATGAAGAGCTTCGTCCCAGGAGGAGAAGTTTCATTTTCAAATGCACCTACAGATGAAAGTAACATGGGGGGGCGGGATAACTGTGCAAAAGCATTTATGTTCAGGTGGGTGCAACTTAAAATGATGAAAACTGGGGGGGTATAAAGTTAGATCCATAACTTACATGCAAAGCAAGATGAAAATAAGCCATCCCTGATTTTTGTTCATTTTGGACATGATTTTTATTGATGGGGGGGTACTTACTACATGAATTAACCCCAAGAAGGGGGTGGCGAACAAATATCAGGGGGTGGGAGTGTATTTTATTACACGTAATGGGTAAACGGAGGGAGGTTGTTACCCCAATAAAAAATGTTAATAGTCGGACCTAATGGTATGGCAGTGGGATGACTACAGTAATTGGGGGGGCCCCCCACCCCCCCACTTTTGCAGATTACTGACTCAATGGGGCGTGGGGGGGTGGAAGCTTCTCAAGCCTTGTGGCAATGCTGAGGGGGGGAGGAAGACCAGGGGACATTCAATAGGGGACCAGCTGTTACTTGAATTGTTCAGTTGGGCATGTCTCTCATTGAAGTTTCTCTTGGCAATAAAACCCATAGAATTAAAAAAAACGTTATTAATGGGTTCAGGATAAGGGGAGTTTGAGTGGCCAACGGGGAGGATGTAATAAAAAGGGGATGGGTTTTGGGGTGGGTTTGGGGTGTTGGGTGGTGGGAAGGTGGGGTACTGTGGGGGGATGGCGTCAGGGGGTGGGGGGAGGGTAAAAAATCGTCTGGTGTTATGAAGGCATATGGTGGGGAAAAGTCTCCTTTGGTGTTAGATTTTAAATTGAAATTGTAGGCTGGGATGGGCGATATAATTTTTGATTGGTCGAAGTGGAATTAAACCAATGATTTAAACATTGTTTATGGTTGGAAAATCCACATATCATAGCAAGGGCGAGTGGGGATGAAACTTAAGAGTTACACAAAATCTGGGGAAGCATTTGCAGGTGAAGGGTTAGTATATATGGTGTGGTAAAAACATGGAAATACTCCCGGCTAGTGACTGCCTTCTTGGTTTCCAAGTGAGTCATGGCTAATAGTTGATTCTATACACATTAAAGGGAAATGGGGTCCAGTCTGAGGGTAGGTAACCTGGTTGGGGTTAATTGAGGGGAGGGGAGGGGGAAGACATTCTGGTTGGGATGGTTAAAAAAGGAGGGTTGAATGAAAGGGGAGTTGAAAACCATAAATTAAAACTTGGGGAGACTATGCCTCATGGAAACCTCCATTGGGGTTTTGGGGGAGGGAGCGTTATTTAGGGGTTTTGGTTTTTTTTTTTTTATTTTGTTTTTTAGTGTTTTGGAGTGGGGGGGGTTAAGGGGGGTGTGGTTTTTTTTTTTTGGGGTTGGTTTGGGTGATTTGGTTTTTTTATTGGGGTTGTTTTGGTGTGTTTTTGTGGCAATTTTTTGATTTGGGTTTGGGTGTTTTTGTGGGGTTTTTTTGTTTATGGGGGTTGTTTTTGTTTAGTTTTTTTGGGATTTTTTTGGTTTTTTGGGGGAATTTTTTTTTTTTGGGTTGTTTTGGTTGGTTAATTTTTGTATTTTTTAGGGAGTTTTTTTGTTTTTGGGGGTTTGTTTTGGGTTTTTTTTTTTTTGGTTTTTGGTTTTTTTTTTTTTTTTTTTTTTTTTTTTTTTTTTTTTGTTTTTTTGTTTTTTTTTTTTTTTTTTGTTTTTTTTTTTTTGTTTTTTTTTGGGGTGTTTTTTAAAAATTTTTTGGGCAGGCGGCTGGGGGGTTGGGGGGGTTTTTTTTGGGGTTTTGGTTTTTGTTTTTGGGGTTTTTTTTTTTTTTTTTTTTTTTTTTTTTTTTTTTTTTTTTTTGTTTTTTTTTTTTATTGTTTATTTTAGGTGTTTTTTTTTTTTTATGGGGTTTTTTGGGGTTGTTTTTTTTGTTTTTTTGGATTTTGGTTAAGTTTGTTTTTTTATGTGGATTGATTTTGGGGGAGGGGGTGTGTGTGGGGGGG